GCTTACCGGGAACAAGTGCCGCGATCCGGTAGAGTTCTTGAAAGTTTCCTCGGCTATTCTGATAAGTTGGTTTTCATCAACAAATGTTACTGGCCCTGCTTTTCATCGATGTTTATTTTCGAAGCTTGGCCCATACAATGCTCTACAAAACAGAGGCTTGAAATCCCATTTTTGCGTCCCAAGAAGATTTTGATCCTCTGTAGCAGACAACATAATCGGGATATCCCAAGTGCCGCGACCGCTTAAAGAAAAGCACCGTATGATGTACTATTTGACCAATTTTCCGCGGCGATGCTGATTTCTTCGCTCTGCTTTTTGGTTTTAAAAAGCTTGCAAAATGACGGAAAGGAAGCTCGTAAACAGCCACGCTAAAACCCCCAAATCCGCTCTCTTTGCACGGCGATATCTCGGCTGCAAAGGGTCCGATTTTGCTCCAAAAGACATCGTTTGAAAGGCAATTTTCTCTAGTTTTTACTATTATGCAATTACTTCGGTCAGCAGTTATTTAAATGCCCAACAGCATCTTTTTGTACAACAACTTTAATTTTTCTGTAATGTCGTTGAGCCCGAAGTACGCCGTACTGAACAGCGGTATCCACCACTAAAATGTGTACCAGACGTATGCCGCACGAAAATTAACAGACTCGATGTCCGGAATTTCTGGCCATGCTCAAAACTTGACCAGGAGTGTTTTGGCTCATTAGCGCATTTGCCACCCAGAAATGTTGCAGTTTTTGAAAGCCAATATCTCTTTTAACATTACACCCAAAGCGCTTAAACATTTACTATGAACTGAGTTTCACGACTCTTTGATTGCTTGAAGTGAATGCATACCTAACCTGCGGTGGAGTCACGACGCCTTCTCCACTCAAAGTCGTATCCTAATGAAGCAAAATGTAAATAATGAATCGCCCACTAAGACGAGATGTAGAACATCATTTTAACATACATCGGAGAGACTGGAAGGTGCCTACGGGAACGTTTCAGCGAGCACCTCCGCAGTGTTCGAAACCGATCTCGCGGGTTTCCCCGTAGCTGAACATTTCAACTCCGCCTCCCACTCTCTGGATGACGTCATGGTCTGTGGCTTGAAACAGTGCCCTGGCAGCAACATCAGTCGCAAGCAGCATGAAATGAAATTAATTTTCAAACTGAGCACGCTTATACCCAATGGATTGAACGTTAACTTTAATATCTTGTGACTGTATTTCTAGCACGTATTACACATACGCGCGGTTTTCTTATGTCGCAGCACGCCTTTGTTTACTTTGTAAATCGTGCGCGCGTTTTGCGTGCGTGCGTACTCGTGCAGTTTTTTGTATGGCGTGGCTCGATCATTCACCTACTGAAGAAGGGCCAAGCCCGAAACGTTTAGTTTACAAGCAGCGAGTTGACACTTTTAAGAGCCTTTTGAGCCTCGTGTTTAATGATCTTAGACTCTCCGGATAATAAGAGAACAATAGACTACGCATGCTTACGATCTTACATCCGACAGAATTTGGATTTTCCCACTATTGACAAGAATAGGCTGATGCCTCGCTAAAGTTCGCCAGCAGCAAAAGCATTTGAGACCGTTGTTGTCTTGTTTGGTGTATACATGTAGGTCGGTTGTGAAAAACACGCACACAAAAAAACTGTTTACAAAGAAAAGTGCGATATAAATATCGTGACAATGGTTAGAAAATTGTTGGGAGTGTAGCTGAATGTCGTGTGTCGTGTCGTAGTTTTTGGTTTGGGTCGTGGGTGTTGATGCAGGTAAAATAAATCAAATTGGCTTTGAGCCAATGAAACCCAAACATGAATTATGAAAGAGTTTTTGAACCGAATTCGTTTTAATCCACTGGTGGGTATAGAACTTTACGCTTTAGCCTGCCACGGTGTAGGTCAATAACCCAGCGGGCGAATCAGTAGATACGTAAATTATACCATGGAGCAGTAAAATGAACTAAAGTTGATTTGGCGCAGTTGGCACGCTAACGTTTCTGAATCAAGAGGTGTCGGTTGCGAGTCCTAGACAGCATAGCAAGTCGTCATTTCCCCCCGCCCTGTTTCTCTCTCTCTCTCTCTCTCTCTCTCTCTCTCTCTCTGTCTCTCTGTCTCTCTGTCTCTGTCTCTCTCTGTCTCTCTGTCTCTCTCTCTCTCTCTCTTTCTTTCTTTCTCTCTTTCTTTCTTTCTCTCTTTCTTTCTCTCTGTCTTTCTTTCTCTCTTTCTTTCTCTCTTTCTTTCTTTCTTTCTCTCTTTCTTTCTCTATTTCTTTCTTTCTCTCTTTCTTTCTTTCTCTCTTTCTTTCTCTATTTCTTTCTTTCTCTCTTTCTTTCTCTCTCTCTTTCTTTCTTTCTTTCTTCTTTCTTTCTTTTTTCTTTTTTTTCTTTCTTTCTTTCTTTCTGTCTTATTAATTAATTAATTAATTGATTGATTTATTGATTGATTGATTTATTGATTTAGCTACGTGAGCTCAACTGGTAGAGCACTGTGCCTCAATAGCTTAATTGGTAGAGCACTGTACCAGTACGGAGAGGTCATGGGTTCATATTCCATTCAACGGCTTGATCAGTGAAATTTGTGTACATACATGTAACTGCGATGATCGATCATTTATTCCCACATCTTTCTCCCTGGTTAAAATTTAAGATCGTTTATACATTTAATTGCATCAGGAAAACATGACGTCATTTTCTGAATGAAAAAAGGCAAAAACATGAAGAAATAACAATAAGATTGTTAAAAAATAAAAGAAGAAATAAGATCTGGATAAAAGCAGACTAGCTAAAATCTAGAAAGAAAGCACTTGATTTTACAATACATTTTTGGTCGTTTAGCGTGAAATAAATTAGTTTACAAGTTACGTTTGAATTTCTAACAACTAATAAAACAATGATATTTGGTATCTAAAAACAATAGCGAAATAACACAAATGGGTGCACAATAGTAAAGATCTGGTAAGAACGACAGAGTTAAATGAACATAATACATATGTAGGTTTAAAGAGGGTTTTTTCCCAGCGAGTACGTAAGACGTACTTTGTCTTAACCTGGAACAATATGCGAACCTGACTTTCATTCGGTGACACATATGTAAGGTCCTTTAAACAATGTTGCGAATCTCAAAAGACGCTAAAACAAACTTAATGATATTGAATATTATATGTGCTACATTAGAAACGGGTCTTACGTAAGGTAAATTGAAAACAAAAGGGACAAGATTAGGGGGATCGGAGGAATAGGAGAGCTATTTGGAGGGGTATGAGTTTTGGTGACAAACTGGCTCATGACCCTCTGAAGGGGAAAGAAGTTGAAAAGGTGCGAGAACAAGCCGTCATTCCGCTTCAAAGGTTGCCGATTTTGCAGCACGCAATCGTGCCTCTACTCGCTTGGATTTTACAGGGGACTATCATGGCGTACAGCTTATTGCAATTTCATTTCTCCTCACACTTCACACCCTGTTATTCTGTGAGCGCCTGCATTTTTCAGTGAAGTCTTCTCCACATCCATTCACATTTGGAGACAATTCTGCTACTTTGTATTGTTCAATGCAGGGAGCAACAAAAATGCCTGCTCCCACCCAAGAGGTAAGGATGATTGGTAAGGGCTGTATCGCCTGTTACGCCGACATTTGACTGGCATTTAGCCTTTGACTGGTTTGATACTGAGGGGTTAGTTGAGCGATTTGTATCGGTGTCTGACTGAAAGAAGCATTTAACGGGCTGGAGGCCGAGATGTTAGTTGAGCGATTGGCATCTACATGAGACTCACAGGTTGTATTTAAATGGCTTGATGCTTAAAAGTTAGTTGAGCTTCGAAAGAAGAAAAACGTTCACCCTTCCTGTAAAAAAAGTAAGACGAATCTTTCGCGTTATAAATGCACTTATTGGAAAAGTGTCATATTCGCCATTCTTTGCGGAGGGCCCCAGGCGGAGGACTTATTTATATTCTCATACCAATCACTGAGATTGCAATGTCCCCAAGACCATCAGCAAAAAAAAAAAAAAAAAAAAAAAAAAAAAAAAAAAAAAAAAAAAAAAAAAAAAAAAAAAAAAAAAAAAAAAATANAGACTGGATCTATGTTATAACTAACGATGGTAAAGAAGGATTTGTACCGTTTACATACTGTGTTCCAGAAGAAGAATACGAGAAAAGAAAAGAAAAACAAAAAGGTCTTCAAGTTTGCTTGTCATTATGTGCTTGCACTCTCTTCAGAGACGTCAAACCTTCTTTTTTGTTGTTCGTTCATTCGTTCATTCTTCCTTCGAAACGAAATGTGGAAGTCTCATAAATTAAAATTACGAGATGTCAAGGTTTTATTACTTCTCTGGTACAAAAGTGAAAGATGTTGGCCCAACCAATGAAGCTTTAGAAACGGGCAACTGTGTTAAATTCAAAACATCAACATGTAAAACTGCTTATCTGGATCTCACTTACATACAAGTTAGTAACATGACAGTTAGCGAGAATTTGTACAGAAAGTATAATACTAGGCTCGATTACCAGCCGCTGTTCGGGAAAGGCGCCAGCGCTCCTCCCCCGAAGGCACTCCTCTCTTTTCGGGGAGGAACGTAGACCGGACACGAGAAAGCGGCGGAAATCGAGCCTAGTATAATACTTGTTCCAAGAGTATTCCAAACTGCTCCAGACCGTGCTTCCAACTGAACTTACTGGAACATGAAATTACATCCAGTATTAACTTCAACTCGAAAATGATTTCCTAGCATCGTATTATTAACTGATAACTACTGAAGGTCTTTCATTGAAGTGATAATAATGTTGTTTTATACCAGATTGTTGTCTCCCTGATTTCAGCTACTGCAAACTGTCATTAGCTGTCACCGAACTCCCTAACTAGCTTTTGTCTCAATATTGGCATCAACGAAGAAATTCTTAAAAGCGCGTCTGTAGTCTGACTTATAGAAAGGATAAATTAAAGGGTCTGCTAATTTATTACACCAGTGAATAAAGAGACGCATCGATTAACCTAGTTAGGTGTGTTAAATTAAACCCTTATTTTAATCCTTCGATAGTGCTTATCGAGCTTCGAGGAACAGAATGTAATGGAAGGATAAATTTATACCGTAGATTTAGGACCATTTAATCGCGGCTTAGCGTTAATCCGCTTTCGAACAACTGGGGCCTGGAGATATAACATTAACATATGCAACCACATATCTGACCTCAGCCGATACACTGCCGACAATTTGTACAGAAAGGATAAAAACTAATTTCAACTTGAAAATGATTTCCTTGCCTCTTGTTATTAACCGGTAACTATACTGAAGGTCTTTCATTGAACTGATAACACTGTCGGTTTATACCAGATTGTTATCTCCCTGATTGCAGCTTCCTTCTGCGAACAGAGAATCATTAGCTGTCATTGAACTCCCTGACGAGCTCTTGTCTCCATATCGGCAGCAACGAAAAAATCTCTTAAAAGCACGCCTGTAGTCTGACTTATAGAACGAATAAATCAAAGGATCTGCTAATGCATTACCCACCAGTGAATAAAGAGACGCATCGAGAAAAGCAATTGGAACCAAGTTGGGGTAGCCGATTGCGAAAAAAACGTTTATTACGATTAAAGGCAGCCAACAAACTGCAAATGTCAATCCCACGAGAGCAAAAACTTTGGCCGCCTTTACTTCTGTTGAAATGTTCACCGATAATCTCTTTGACATTTGTCGGGGAAGCCTGATTGGTTGTGAATTGTTTACTATTCTTGCATTTGTCTCCGACATCTCAATCATCCATTTTACCTGACGACGTGTAGCACGAAATATTTTGCTGTACGCCCAGCAAATCAAAACTGAACAGATTGTGACAATGGTAACCAAGACTCCTTGGTAAATACGCTCTGCGGACAGTTTGATACCGAGCCGATACTCCCAAAATATTGGTATTATCGCTAACAAAAATGGCATTGTCCATACTAGTGCTAAAATCTTGTACACAACTGCTCTCGTTACGTTCGATCTGTACGAAAGGGGCTTGAGAACGGCTTGGTATCTATCCCACGTAATGCCACAGAAGTTGAAAAGATACGCGAAAAGGATGTAAGCAATGATGTAGGGGCTTATAGCCAAGCCAGCCAGATAGGTCGGTAGGAATACCGTGGCGACCATTAGATCACTTATCGCCAAACTAACAATGAAAGTGTTAGTAATCGTTCGAAGTCTGTGGTACCGGCAGAAAAGTATACAGACAAGTGCATTGGAAACCACAACAGCGCAGCCTATCACAGTCAGGGAAATGATGGGAGGTAATTCAAGGTCCCACGAGGTATCATCCGTTTTATGGATCGTCTTCGAAGAGATGCTGAGGTTGCCGTCAGAGCGATTTTCCTCCATTAGCTCCGCCATTTCAGGCACGTTTTTTCAGCTTTTTTTTTTCTCCTTTGTGATGAGATGTTCGATCTACACAAATACAGTTACGACTCTTCTTTGTTTAGGCCACTTCTTTCACACACTACTGAGCCCAGAATTTAACAACACTTTGAAAAACGCGAGGTATACAGAAATGCTGCAGTTAAGCCTTCGAGTAAAGGAAATGAAAATAAACATCCCTCTCGACCTTTATCAAGTAAACACGTTTTGTACTGTGAGTAAATATGCTCTAATTTTGTTTCAAAGTATATGTTAATTTGTGCCTGAAGGTCTTCGTTAATTAAACCTTATTTTATTTTCATCCAATGGCTATGTCCATTTAGCTAGCTGCTTTGACGCGCTGTTATTTCCCTTTGTCATTTGTCCGCTTTCGTTCTGAACAGCTGGAAAACCTCGATTGGCGAATACGTTGTTTCTCGCTATTTTACAAGGAGAAATCGTCAAAGAAAAACAGAATTCAGGCAGATGAAAAAATATTGCGATTGAGAGTCAGGAAAAACTAGACATCGTGCAGCCACAGAGCAAGAAATTGAATAAATTTCCGTTTCTTTCATCAATTTGAAGGGAAGATAAATACAATTTAGGGTGATTTTAGTACGAAAGGACAATTCTCTGTGATCGTAATCAGTACTGTTTCTTTTGTTTGATGTTTCATAAAACTCTTCGATCAACGTTAAAATGATCCTCAAACTCCATTAACGTTTTTCGTGTATTTTGTTGTCGGGTGATAAATTTTGAAACCAATATAGCCTTTTCAAGGCGATTTCTAGCACTCTTAATTTTACGCTTATTTTGGGTAAAATAATTGAATTTAGAATTCTTAGTATTGTATATATTATTTAGGGAGCTCGCGTACAAAATGCAAACAGTTTGATTTTTCCCACTGACTGTCAATTAATATTCATGTGATCCACACAAATGCCCTTATTGCCTGAAGGCCTCCCGACTAGACATGAAATACGAAAAAAAAAATTCCACCAAGAAAAAACGATTATTACAGGAATGATTGTAAACATTAATTACACAAGCATCTACTTACATAAATCAATTTGCAATTCTATTTTGCCCGTGGTAATGGTCCAATATATTCTTTATTCGAAATAAAACGCAAGCGAGTATGTTTGGATAGCATAATTTGCCTGGAATTAACACTTGTCAACAAAAGACAAATTTCAAATGAAGTTTGCGTGTGGAAAAAAAAGCCGCTAGGCTGTGTATAGTCCTTAATAAAACAAGCGAGCCGAATATAGTTCATTACGAATGAAGGCATACAATTCACTAATGGAAACTAGTTTCTTTTTCAAAAAAAGTATTATAATCCTACAAATTAAATATTTAGGAAGCTAAAATAAACATTTCTTCACGCTTTTATCTTAAAGTAAGCAAGGAAAAACAAATATCTAAATACATGTATCTCTGACCTTTTTTAGCTGGGGGATCTTTTTTAGTCAGAACCCTGTAAATGCATGCAAGAAAGACGTAAAGCGACATTACAGGTCCCTATCTTTAATGCTTTGGCATGAAAATTCGTGCATCCGTATATGTGTGTTTTGCTTATCTGTAATTGAATCTGGCAAATGTAGCTCGTTAGAGCAGTTCTGGGACTAACAAATTCTCCAGTTTTGATTAGAAAAAAGAAAATCTAAAAAAATAAAAACAGCTAGAGTTTTAGTACCGGTTTTTAATTAGAATTTGAAAGGTATCTATGTTTTTACTGTTGAATTTTGTCTCATTTGTTTTGGGAGCTAAAAACCCAGGTGATCAAAGGATCTAATTGTCAAATCTCATTTGATAATTTTTTCAACAGAACTGTAGTCTTATTAATGTTTTGGTGCATGGAGGTTTAGGTGAGAAATCCAAAAATTGGTCAAACTCAGACTGTTCGAGAGGACCGGACAAAGTTATCGATCAGCTGTCATTATTTTTTTTTGTTTGAGCATCGTACATGTTTGTTAGTTTGTAGTGTTTTGTGTTTTGTATTGTTTTGTTTTGAAATAAAGGCATCCTTTTTTTTTAAAACTCGAATGTTGTGCAGGACACACTTTCCAAAGCATTTTACTTGAGAGTTCTGAGGTTTGCCGGGGACTACATCTGTAGGTTAACAAACAAATCAATTGTCATTTTGATCAATTCTCAGCTTTTAGTTACTGACACCACATCCGCAATCCCCTTACTTGTAATCTTGTTAGTGGTAGTGCTAATGGGGTCGATAATTCAAATAAAGCAAATAGTACAAATTATACATAACAACGACGAAAATCAGTCTCCTCTAAAGCATGTACCTTCATTTTTGTACGAATATAGTTTATAGAGGCTGAAATTTGCTAAATTTTGACAATTTTTTGAATAAACACTAGGTTGCGGTTTTGAAAGAATGTAATACTGTGTTGAAAATTTCTAATTAAAATGCAATTATGTGTTTTTAACTAAACGGTATAACATTCTTCCTGCAAGAAGCTGTCGTAACAGTTCTTTTTGCCCGCAGCCTGGCTCTAAAATTATCTCAACTAAAAGGTATTCACAAGAATATTTCAGCCTAAAATTGCAGAAAAGATATAAGAATATTCAGCTAAGGCCGCAAAAAACAAACAATGTTTCATCACAGTGTAATACACGGCGTAGGCTTCTTTATTTGTTAAATGAAAAAAGCGCGAGTGAGAGATCAATAAGTTGACTCCAACGAGAAAGAATAAGTGAAATTAAACGATTGAAACGGCACACTTCTTAATCAAAACTTCACTTGAATAATCACAGATGATTTCACGGCTTTCACAAAATAAGCACTGTTTTTATTAACGCCGGTCGAAAATTAATTCCGTTTAAATAATTAGTCCAAAAAGTAAAATGTAGAATCTTTATTTTTCCTTTTTTTTTTTCTTTATCGATAACGTTGACTCGTTTTTTGAAAAATCTGCAAATATAGTGACATGCATATGTCATGTAAGAGCCTTTCACTTGGTGCAATTTGTTACACTTAAAATTCCCTCTTTGATGGTTGCACCTGCAAATCAATCGATGGTGGCCGCCCAATATGATAGAGCATGTTAATTATTTAAAGGAGAGGAAGTCCCTCTCGATTTCCTAGGAATTAGAACTCAGGTTTGGGACTGTAGTCCTTCCCTCTACTGGATGCGAAAAAAAAAAAATGTTAATAAAATGTCATACCAAACCTGATCAGAACATGAAACTAAACCCATCACGTAAGTATAATGCTGTGACTCTGGACATGCGCTCCAACAGTTAAAGTGAATGGGAACTAGCTTCACTAACTATACTGATAGACTTTTGGAGTGAAACGTTCAGAAAAAAATAATTCGTAATTTATGACTTTTCTCTATACGTCAAGAAATGGAAATACCGAGTGCAATGTAGGATGAGCCTTTTTTTTGTTTGTTTCTGAAGTGTATAATTCAGGCTGTTTACAACAAGGAGTACAAATATAGAGACGAAAACACTACACGCTTGGTTGTTCAAGAAAGCACACTTTTCAAAGCGGCGTAGAAACGTGTGGTGTGCGCAACACCAAGAACCTTATTTGTAGCGCAGAATTCTCTTAAGGGTGCGTTTCTTTAAGAAAATCTAAGGTTGGATCTTAAAATTCGAAAACTGATGTTGCGTTTCTTTTCTAAACAGATCAATCCAAGATCTCTCGGATCATGATGCGTCAGAGAAACCGAAGAATCCCATCTGGGCAAGGATTGTTCGATTCCTTTGGTGCACCATGATCCGAGTGATCTTGGATTGATATGTTTAGTAGAGAAACGTAAAATCCTTTTGCGGATTTAAGAATCCAATCTCGGATTTTCATAAAGAAACCCACCCTAATATTTGGAAATCAAAGATTTGTGATGATTTTAAATCATAAATCAGCCTATTGCTGTGATGTAAATATATATTAATATCCACTCCAGTCTTTTTTCATCTGTCGTGATTTTAGTTGATTTTAGTTATCTCCATTTTAATTGGTTCAACAAGAAAAGGTATAAGCAGACATATGTAGAGTGGTCACTGGGATGTTTCTTACTTTAAGATTTTTCTTGCGTGTATTTTCCCCAAAAAGGCTGAAATTTGATTTTTCTCTTGCATTTCTCTCTTAGCGAGATGAAATTCCGCTATTCAATATTAAGCACATCGTTCAACAATATACCTTAATTAAGTTGGATTAAATATTTTCATATTTGTAATTATGAAGTCGCTATCAAATCTAGTTTCAAAGAAAATTGCACCTGGAGCTGATTGCAATTTCTGTCCAATTTATTCTGTGAGAGGATTAAAAGGAAGCAAATGAGGTGAAAAAAATTATCGCGTTATTCCATTTTTGCTTGTTGGATTATTTGTTTGTTTGTTTGTTTTTTTCTTTTCCTTTCTTTATGGATTTACGTACATGTAGGCTTTTGTTTTTGAAGGTTCACTGTCGATGCAAAGCTTCTGAAGGAGATTCCTTCGTGGATACTGACTTGACTTGGATCGATAACTGGAAAATGATATTTTCTTTGCTCGATCCGTACGGTATACATCAGAAATAGTCCGTACGGCTCTTTAGCGTTTTCATGAAGACGTAAATTACGAGATCTAAGCAGCGCGAAAAGTGAATATTACTACTTATTTTTTTTCTCCAGCATCTGAGCGGGCCGGAATCCTAAATCCCCGAATTTGATTGGCTAATCATACGCTCGTAACCAGTCCAGCTTTTTACGATACGGCCCACGGGCCGGATTTTTTCCCCGCTACCTAAATGTCGCTCCTAAAAGTTAGCGGTAATCGTCGCATCCATCGACGATTAGTCAACGCAAGTTTATCTCTGTTCACTTTAAAATAGCAAAGAAAGTCTCTGTAAGTAAATTCAATTGAGTGTTTTGAAGTTGTGAGAGTTTGCTTCGTTGTTTGTAGCTTGGCGCTATAATGGCGCGTAATCCTGTGTTTCTCTCGCCGTAAAATTTGAGTCAATTTCAGTCGAGTTTACCTCTGATCGTTGCTGTATTTAGGAAAATTTCTGTGGAATACACTTAACGAATTTCCACGCTTTCTGCTGTTCAGTTTACTGTAGAAAAGTCTGATTTCAAGTGATTTTAAAAGCAACGACTGACAGAAATTGTTTTTGTAGTAAAACCTCAAACTTCACACGACATTTCACACGCAAAAAAAAATTTGGAGAGCTTAACTGGTGAAATAAATGCAACTAACATAAAGTAGTTAAAAAAATTCTGTTCTTTCATACATCTGTCTTTGTCTACTATCTGAGATGCTCGCTCGTTGCGAAGAGCTTTTTACAAATCGTTAGTAGACGGCGGCGGAAGCCGATTCAATGACAAAGTTGCGTAAACAAACCCATTTGTAATCTGTAAAACCAATTTTACCGCAGGAAAAAAAAAATAAACATGTCATTTGCCGGCTTAGGGTCGATCCGTATAATGAAAAACTGTGACCTCGGGCTTGAAAATGCTGCCCTCGGCCTGCGGTCTCGGGCAGTATTTTTAAGACCTCGGTCACAGTTTTTCACCATACGGTCCTCCCAGCCGGCAAATAACACATATTTATTATCCAACTGCACCGAGTACCGTCCAAATAACAGTACAAATAGACTATACAGCGATATTGTACAGTTATTTGTACAGTAGAAAACCTGTTTGCCAAACAGGTCGGCGCGCTCAAGCAAAACTGT